CTACAAATGCCATTTACTTCCTTCCTTCAATCCAATATAGCAAATGCTAAATAAAAGAATTTCCTTGATCTTTTGTAGGAGGTCCTCAGAACTAAAAAGCATTTAAGTGAGAACTATGCGATTAATAGAAAGAGCTACAAATCTAAGCTTAGCTACAGAAAGAATCAATTATCTTGTGACTTATTTATATCCATTTTCCATAGAACTTTTTCCTCATAAACTGTCTTTTAAAAACAAATGCAAGGTCAAATAGAAATTCAAGGCTCATGAGAAAAAGAACATATTGCTTCATTTCAGAATAGATTGTTTCTAGCTCAATATAATATTAGGTGTGAAAACCTGAAACTTGAGGGATCCTAGCCAGTGAACAGGAACAAACACAAACAGAAACTATCTAGAAAGGACATTTAGGCGGTAGTAATTCAGAAGCCCTTAACCAAGGAGACATTACAGAACAGGGTTCTCCTGCAGGTGCCCTAGCCAACCCCATTCAAAATCCTCTGGAAGACTGACATTACTGAAGGAAACTACAGCATACAGGGGGCTAAGTCTTGCCATTGCAGTGACTGTCTTTCATGATTCTTATCCAGAAGGGAGATGCTGCACTAGCCTGCTAAACATTGTACTTTAGCTGTGAAGAATTACTGTGAGAGAATCGGAGTACGGATACCTCTCTTCTCCTAGTGAGGAAAAGAGAACCCAATCCTCCCATGAGGGGGAAGTATGAGTAAGGAACCATCTGTGTTTGAAAGGGGGAATCTGTGCGTGTGTCCTTATGTCTGAAACAGAGGGAGTAAATGAAGTCTATCTGTGTATATCTGGTGTGTGTGGGAGGAGGAGTGGAATCACTATGCCGCTGGCCACCCACCCAATGCCTTATGTGGCCTTCAGCACAATGTTAGTTTCCCATCTCTGTTAGAGAGGAAACAGAGTTCTTGACCTTGTCAAAGATAGTGAGGAAGACAGAAGTGCCATGGGTATTTTGCTTCTCCAATCATATGCTGGACTGACAGGGCTGGCCCAATACAAGGCATTTTGGTGCCTGAGCTGGTGACCAGATGAGGTCTCCCATTTCATATACAAGAGTTGGCCAAACTGGCAGTTAAATCTTTCATCAACACTAGTGTCATTGTGAGGTCTTCCACTGCAGGCCAGGACAGCAGACTTGCTTAGGGGGGCAAGGGGTACAAACATCTTTGTTCACTCATGGCATCTCAGCATTCACTGTCCTGAGACAGTTGCCTCAGTGCCTAATGACAGGGCTGATCCTGCAACCTGACAAGAAAAACTGCATCTGCCACAGGCCTGCTTCAGACCTCTTACAAGCTTATGAGTACATCTTAACTTGGAAGTAACTTCCACTGAAGGGAAATTTACCTTTACCTAGAAGACCATGCCCTATTGAAGCGACTTATTTCCAAGTACACATGCAGGTAATTACTCCCAAGCAAGGATAAACCATTTAGTCTGCTTCCAGGTAGTGTCAGTTTAATCTGTGTTCATGGGGCATAAGTCTGCCCCATCTTCGTATTAATCAGATAATTTTATTCAAAAATCTGCATAAAATTTCATTCAAGTATGTTTTTGAACTTGTTTTCTCACAAAATATGCAATTCAGAAAGTATGTTCTCTCAAAGACATTTCTAATAGTATTTATCTATCTTTGCTAACAAACATTTATATACAGTTTAAGCAGTTTAAATCAAGGATTGCATCACACAATGTGGAGAACTAGAAAATCCAAAGAATAACTGAATTCTAATATGCATATTAATCTGTCAGGAGCTGATTAGGTCAATTCATTTCTAAACCTAGACTGAATGAAATCCTCAAACATCACTAATCTCAAGTAAATGTTTATAACTGTGATAAGGATAGCAATCCTTTTTGGAAGGAAATGGCTAAGCAGAATCAAGCAGGGTAAAGAACAAAGAGCAAAGCCTCAGAAAAACAGTGAGCAGCATGTCCGAAGCAGAACACCCTGCATTTAGGGCTAGGCTGACATAACTGTTTAGGGGCACAATCCTATTAGACAGAATAAATACCCAGTTGGCCTCAGCCAGCCCTGTTGGCTATACCATGCTGGGAATTGTAGGCCTACCGTCCTATCTAAACATACACAGGATTGTGCCTTACAGGAAGTAAACTATAATCTGGAGAAATGGGTCTTTCTCTAAACTACAGGGGTGATTTAGAGAAACATAGATACCACCTGCACAAGCCAAAACAGAGTAGCCAGATGTCCTTACTTTACAGAGGCCAGGCCTGGAAAACTAAGAACAACCTGCATTTGAAGAGACCAGTCCAAGTCTGGTTTAAAGTTAAAGAATCATAAGGCAGAAGAGCAAAGGCCTCAAAGCTCTCCATCAACAGTTAGGCCCTGGGCTGCAAACTGACTGGGTACAAAGATCTCTTTGTCAGTCTTCTCCTCTATAAGATACGTTATTTCGACTTCAATTATAGTTATTTCTAAACTTGCACCTATGCATGTGATTTGCATAAGTAAATGTTACATTTGTGCCCTATTTATCAACTTTTTGGTGATGCCTTTCTTCCTTTCTTTGGCAATGTACCCACACCCAAAGTAGTTTAAGAAGACCCAGGTTCTTCCCCACACCAGTTTGTGTATGTCACCTAGAAGGGCAATACTGTTGTAAAAAAGGAGCCACAATGTGCCACAAGGAGCCAAGGCAGAACGGTCTCCATAAAACAGAACAGAAATGGCCAGCGTTTTGTTTCTTTTGGTTGAGGGCTACACTCCCTTGTGGGTCTGAGGAGAGCTACATGTTACCCGTGGGTGGTGCTAAATTCCAACATGCATGGAGCGGCCCTTTTCTCCTTCTGCCACCCCTTCTCTTTCTCTCTTTCTGTCACTTCATGACACTCCCATTTCCTCCTATTTCCCATGCTATCATAGAAAAGTCAGATCACTTTTGCCAGAAAACTGAAATGACACATGCAGGGTGCATTTAAATTAAGCTAAGCCCCACATGAAATTAGGCAGAGCAATACAGATTGCCCCCACCCTAATCACACTTCAGTAGAGACACAAAAGGTTATTTGGCTTCAGTAATTTCCCAGACTGTATTGGCATTAAACAGCTTGTGCTCATGCACAGATCTAAAGAACCGAAACATTCATTCCACAGATTATCAGTGCCTGACAAATCCTACCTTAGCAGACACCAGGATTTTTAAGTGTGACAGTAATTGTGTTGCTTAGATTGTTTTTATAGACCATCTTCCTCCTTTCCTGCCAAAAAGTGCCCCTGATAAACAGCTGCCTCAGACATTTAATAAGCAAATCCTCAGCTCAATGATTGCCTGCAGTATACTTATTTTAAATTATTTGGCTCTCTCCCTCTGAAGAATATAGAACAGTAAAATACCATCTGTGGAATAGAAAATCAAAAGCTACGTGGGTCTAAACAGCAACACAACAAAAAACAGGACTGAAACTTACTGATAGGCTAATAAGAGAACATCATTGTCAATATGCCCACCTCCACATGCATACTTCACAAGTGAAATTCCTCTCGTGGCATTCCAGTGGAGACTCCCTCACATGGCTTTCTTCCTAATAACAGACAGTAGTACTCTCAGCAACTCTCTGAGCCAATTTTAAATCAGTAATAGTTCATTGTCTCTGTGCCACAGAGAGACCAAGGCATCAACAGGAATGCCATCTGTACTAACCCAAAATTCTCCAAGGTATCTCCAGAATTGTGTAAATAGCATAGGTCTCCTGCAGCCTGCTGCTTTAAGCCCCAACCTTGCCAGCTGAAAAGAACTGAGGTCAAAATACTGAACACTAGAATCGGTCTTCCTCAATCTGATGCCATCCAGATATGCTGGAACATAATACAATAAGATATGACTGAGCCTCAGTCACTTTTCTTTCATCTCCCCTTCCCGTGCCATTTCAAAACCTTCACATCCTTTGTCTGAAATGACAAGCTATAACTAATATTCACTATACTTTGTTTAAACTAGGACCAGACAACCTGGTGCGTTCCAGGTGTTTTGGACTACAACTCCAATAATTCCTCACCATTAACCATTCTGCCTGAGGTTTATGGAAGTTGCAGTACAAAAACTTGATACCTACCCTTAGTTTAAACCATTGTTTCAAGTTATCTTATTTTAAACAAACCAAAGTTAAAGTAGTTAGTTGGTTCAGACAAAACTTCCAAAGCTGAAGGGGAAAAAACTGCTAACCCCCTCCTCCTGGCCATGTGGGAGTAGGAGATTGTGGATCTGAAGTTTACTCAGGTTCATCCATGTTGCACAACATGAGCTTTCTGCAGTTGTGGACTGCATTCCTGATCATTTGCCATGCTGGCTGGGGCAGATGGGAGCTGAAATCTCAAAGATCTGACAGACATTGGGTGAAGGAACATTGTCCTACATTGTTTAGTGCAGAGATGGGCAACTGTGTGAGGACTGGAGATCATTTGTGCACCAGAACATACTGCCACCCACTGCAGACACACCCACTCACTCATGGGAGTACATGTATGCACACACAGAGAGTCCATGATGGCTATGGATGCCATTAATTCTGGAAAAAAAACCCCTTGATGTTGTGGGTGGGGGCAGCAGGGACTGCATTGACTCATACAATGCCCACCCTGATTTATGATGATGTGTGACTATAGCCAGTGTAAGAGAAACCACTGATAGTCAGCAAAACAGACTTATACCACCCACCATCTGTTGACAGGAGACTCTAAGGGGTAATTCATTATATCACTACCCCAATCTAGTTTATCTTTCTCCCTATGATTATAGGGGACTATAGTTGGGACTGAATTAGAAATTTCTGGTGGAAAGCTATCAGCATCCACTACAAAATGCAATTCTCAGAATTTTTTGAGAGATGTCACAACAAACTGGTATAAAGCTGACAGAATTTTCTACCTACATATCTATTCTTAGATTCAGCTTCTTTTTCCATTTACACATGAACCAGCAAATAAGTGTGATAAATGGCAAATGACCTTACAGAACAAATTCTGGCTTTTCGGCAAGCTTCAGAGCCTCATGCATGCCTGCAGCAGATAGCTTACGGTTGATATTCCTATATCTGCACTGCAGTAGATTGCGGTAGGTTGTCCTCAGATCCCGGTTGAAGAAGGCATATATAAATGGGTTAATCAGAGAGTTTGCATAACCCAGCCACAGAAATGTCCTCTCAACCCACAATGGAATGCAACTGCAAGATGTTCCACAGATAAATGGTCTAGCAGTGGAAAGTATGAAAAAGGGCAGCCAGCACACAGTAAAGGCTCCAACAATAATCCCAAGCGTGGTGGCCGCTTTCTGCTCTCTTTTGAAGATGGAAATGTTCTTCCGTTCATGCTTCAGCAGCCGTGAAAAATTTGTGCACTCATCCGATTCCTTGTGCAGTTTCACAATGCCATTTGCAGAAACTATGCCTTCATTTTCTTCAGGCCGTGGAAAGCCAGCAAATTTGTGTTTGGCCGCACTCTTCTTGGCAGCCTTGTAGATTTGATAATACATAAAAAGCATCACTGACATAGGGATATAAAATGCAACTGCAGTAGAATAAATGGTGTAACCAAAGTCCTGGCTGATTAAGCAAACTTTGTCATCATTAATATTTTGAGCCCACCCAAAGAGAGGTGGCAAAGTAATTGATGCAGACAGTAGCCACACAGAAAGGATCATTTTAGCCATACACTTTCCATTTTGCCTTACAGGATAGGTGAGAGGCCTAGTTATTCCAAGATACCTAGAAAGAAAGAAAATAGAGTAAGTGTCTGTTCATTATTGTTGATAAAACTATTCTGTTCATACTAAGTCGCTATGGAGATCCTACAGACCAAATTACAACAAATAAACATTTGATCTGCTAACAAAATATGAAGATTGTGAGGTTCTTTAAACATACAATTTCTAGGCAAACAGGCTAGCAGTAAAACAGTAGAAGATAATGCATATGCTGGTTATGCATAATGGATCATTCAGGTGGCCTAAGTGATCAGAAAAGCCTTCATAAACCTCAGTTGATCTAGCAGCTGATACACTATATGGACAGGTGGTAACAGGAATGGAATCTTCTGAAGCCACCTAGTTGGATTCTTTACTGCAATATATTCTACAGGAAGCTACCTTTGAAGATGCTTAGAAACTTCAGTTAGCTTCAAACAGAGCTGCTAGGTTACTATGGCAGAGCTTACCTAGGTGGCACCCTCTAAAGTTTTATAGCAAATCCTCCTCTAAGAACAAATATGGAACAACACTTCTTACGGGGTCATTCCTACTACTCTCACCATCACTTATGAAGGATCACTCCTCACCACTGGACAATCTCTCTCTTCACTTCCCTCCACCTTTGAACTAAAAATGTATACAATTTTCCTAACATAACCGGTCACTAACAGATCAGAGATATCCCATTAAAAATAAATAAAACAGGAAAGTTCATTTAAGATTACTGTACTTTATGAACAACATGTCTATACAGTTACTTTAAAAACAGCACTTCTGTATTGTTACTATTATCATAGGTGTTAAAAATTCCAATTCCTAACCCTACACAAACATATGGCTCCTCTATCAAGCAGCACCCACAGTTAACTCATAGGCCTAGCAACTAGGGCTTAAAAGGCAGTCTCTTCTCTGGTGGGGTTTGATTTCTACCTGGAACCTTAAAGACTGTCTAAAGGCTTCCCTGAAGTCTTCAGTTTGGTCCAGCACCTGTTCAGTTTTTATTCCACCAGCACCATCTGGCATTCAGGTTTCAATTTTTTCTGCTGAAAGCTGCTCCTGGAGTCTTTTTGTCCTCACTTGTACTCACTCTTCTGCCTCACATACTCCTAGATGGGCTTCCCAGTCTTGCAGCTGCTCTTGTTACTAGCTGGTATATTCCTCAGGTTCCCCAGCCTCTCATTAAGGCAACCCCTACCAACTCTCCCTACAGGTCAATTCTCTCAGATGCCTCTGAGCAGCTCCTTATATTTGCTTCAATCAGGTCTGGTGTGGCCAACATTCAATCACACCAGCAATATTTAATCACCAGACTAATAAGCATCTTTAGACTGTTCAGTTATTCTCCAATCAGATGGTGCTAATTTTGATTCTGTCTTCCCATATATCGAGAATCTGGCCTCATTTCTGTTTGTAATCCACCAAGATAATAATGGTTATTGGATAGATTAAATTATAATAAATTTAATACATAAATAAGCTTCACTCAACTCATGGTCAGATATTAGGGCAGCCATAATGCATACCATGTGGAGAATGCAGGTAATGCAGTCCATTCTATGTGGCATCTCCTCCCAAGCATACAGTGAATGATTAATCCATCATCATCATCAAGAACAACTATTTCTGGAGCTGTTTTCAGTATGTGTTTTAGAGTGTACAAACCTGTGATGTACATAAGGCTGAGAAAGAAGGCAATTTAAGCTAGCAACCACATTTGTTTATCTGCCTTGTACCCACCTTTCTAGAAATGGAACTAAAAGTGGCTTGTTATCACTAATGAACTGTATACAAAATGAAACAAAAGATGAAACTAATACATGAAGGGAAGAATACGGTGGACCCTAGGCAGCAGTTGAGGAACCCTAAGATATTTTGGATTCCCACATCCAGGCCTGGAGACAGCACTCCAACTTCAGAACTGTGAGTCTGAGCTCCAGCCCCTGTCTCTGCCTTTTCGCAGAGCAGGAGTAAAATAACTCACTGGATGCTCCCTAAGCCTTCAAAAGTAACCTGAGAGGGTGATAAAAGGAAGTGAAAACCCAGGAAAGGCAAAGATATGAGGTATACTGGAGCCCATCCAGCTTCCTGACGTTACCCTCCAAGCCAGCCTAGCTGGACAGATGAAAAAATCTGCCCCACTGCTCCTCCTGTTCAGCAATGGATGCCTGTAAGCCTCTGAGTTTGGGGTTAGGTTTATCACAACAGTATTGCCCCAATCACTATCAAAAACAACAAGAACAATGTAAAAAGAATGTCCAATCAAACAGACCCACATATACACCAAAGTCATGCTTGAATATAGTTGTCTTTGCTTCCTAGTGAAGGGACAGGAGAGAAAGAACCCTCTTTCGGAAGGAATTTGAGAGCTGAAGTCCTTTCACTGAGAAGACCCCCTTTCATATTGTCATCAAATGTGTCATGAGGGTGGCAGTCTTGAAAGAAGGGTCTCTCTGTAAGATCTTAAGGACACAACAGGCTCAAGCGGAAGGAAGTGGTCTTTCACATAGCCTGGTCCCAAGTCATATAAGTCTTTATAAGTCATAGCCAGCAATTTGAATTCTGACCAGAAACAAACCAATAGCCAGTGAAGCTGTTGTAATAAGAAGGTCATGTGTTCCCTGAAACCAGCCCCAGGCACCAGTCTGGCCATAATCAAGCCTGGAACCCACAATGCTCTTGAACTAGCAATTTAAGGAATGTCAGGCAGGGATTCAGCCTGGGCATTATCACCCAGCTCTGGTGAAAGGACACCAGCGGGATACTTTTTTCCAGCAATAACTCAGTGCAACTTGGACAGTATGTAATACAGGAGTATAGATCTTGAGTGCATAATCATGTGCAGCTTAAGTCATTGACAGAGACGGTCTTAGATTATCTGACAAAGCAAATGCATCAAGGAAGGGATGATCCTTGGAATGAAAGCAAGGGAAGGAAAGGTATATCTGTTATGATTTCAGTAAAGATCAGGACCCTCACCCAGCTGATGGCATTTGCTTTATTTTATTTGTTAAAATGTGTGTTTTCAGAAGACACCTGTAACATCACATCTAGCTGGGGAACAGCTAAACTGGATGTCTTAAAATAGAAAGCCCAGAAGTGAGCACTTGAGAAAGGAAGAATACAAAGACTTGACAAAACTGCAAAATATACCATTCGTTCTAGTGCCCATTACTCATTACAGCTTGCAGCCAGTGGGAGTACCATGACACTCATTAAAAAAAGGAGCTTCTGTCTGAATTGTCATTATTATTTTAGCGTCTGTTTGGACTCAACAAAGACTGGTCCAGTCTGCTTCAGGAACAATATGGATTTGGTCTACTTTTCAGTTCAAGTTTAGTTTGGCTTCATTCTCCCAACAGTTCTACCCTTTAAAAAGACAGAACACCACAGTTTAAAATAGGGGTGAGGAATATGGAATCTTCCAGATGCTGGACTGTAACTTCCCTCTGCTGTAGCCAGTGTGGGCAATGATCAGATATAATAGATTTTGTAGTTCAACTGGTGGACGGTTATAGGTTCTCCCCTCTGCTTTAAAGTCTCAGGGAAGAAGGGGGGAAATCTTCACTTAGTAATACTTAGAAGCAAAGTATCTTAATGAAAATATTAATACTTGCTATTTATAAAAGTTTTAAATTCAGTAAAACCAGTTTCAGTGGCTCTTACATGTTTTCATTTTCCTTAAGTGGCTAAAGGTATCTTGTGACATTAAGCCATACTTCCCACAGGAGCTATTTAGAACATGCACTTTTCTCCATGGCTTGTTTAGTTCCGAATGACTTCAAAAAACTTGGTAGGAATATAAAAACAGCCTTGCTGGATCAGACCAAGGCATACCTACTCCAGCATTCTCCATCTTCCCAGTAATGTTCCCCAGCAATTGACATACAAAAATATTGCAACTCCCAGCATGGCTGGCAGAGGCAATCTTCCTTTTCCTATCTTTTTACTCTGGCCTTTTTGCTAGGCCACCATTTGTGACTATCTGGATCAGGGGGCCTCAAACTTTTCCACCAGGGGGCCAGCTGAAACCTGCTGGTGCTGGGCACGGGCCAGAAAGGTGGTGTTGGCCCCTGCGCAGGCCAGTGCAGGGGCGGGGGCAACGTGTGCAGTGAGGGGAGGGGAGGCTTGGCCGGGTGCACACACACTTCGAGATGAGGTGCAGGTGGGGGCGGGCTTGCACTGCGAGGCGGATGCACGATCGTTTTTTCTGAGTGAGCAAACCACTGCCTCCCTGTGCTTGGGATGAGGTGGGCAGCAGCGGGCACATGGGCACGGGGCATGGGTGCACACGTGGTGGGTCCAAATGGGCATGGCGGGCTGGATCCGGCCTCCAGGCCGTAGTTTGAGGACCCATGATCTGGATGGTGCTTGAAGAGGGAAGGCAATAGGTTGCAAAGGACACCACATATGTTCTGCACTTGCCTCTGCAGGCTGCTCCCCTCCCTGCCCACCATAATGTCTCTCTTCCCACTCTCTGAGGTTGGGTTCCTGACCATGGAGTGGCAGCAGTCTGGTTCTTTTCATGCTGGCTGCCAGCGCAGAGTGGGACCAGAACATGAAGGCTCTGAGGCTGCAGTGCCTAAGGCTGGCACTACAAAACTCTATGTATTTCATTTGTATTCATTGCTATCATAGAATTGTAGACGTGGAAGGGACCAAGAAGGCCAATGGGTCTAACCCCCTGCCAGTGCAGAACACCAGTTATACCATCCCACTCAGATGACTATCTATTTCCTTCTTGAATGCCTCTAGTGCGGAAGAGCACACAACCTTTCTGAGCTATGAATATATGCAAATCCATGTATGCATCTTTTCAAAAACAGGGAAAAATTAAAAAGGCATGTTGAGGAGGGCCATGGTAGCTAACTTAGGGTCGTCCAACAGAGAGTATCACGATGCCTACCCCAATTTAGTGCCATGGGTAGTTCTTCCCTAAGACTCACTATCCCAAACACCACCCCAACACACAATAAAAACATAAAAATTATGTAATTCTATAATAAATTGATGTTTAGCTAC